GAATGCCTTTGAGTTAAATATTTTGTTTTTTTTTTCTTCTCTTGTTCTAATCCAGAGGAAATTTGGCAGAGTTGTAGGTAGTTTAGATGATGGAACAAATGAAATGAAAAACTTGGTCATGTACTGATTAAGAATGAGCTTATCACTTCAAATGCTTAACTGTAGAATGATAAATTCATTGTGTGATTTAGTGTCTTTCTCAGTCTATACATTGGCTAAACTACTTGGCCTGAATTTAAAACCTTACAAAAATTTAATGATTTGTGATCTTAACAACTTTAAGTTCCACCAGGTATGACCTACATGTCTTTGATCTTTAGCTTGGAGCAATATATTCTCTTCATGTGGCATACTCTCTAGTTCCTAGGGTAGAGAGCATGTGTTTAAATCTAGTTTATAGTCGTCTTTGACACTTAGCATTTGCTTATTCCTTGCATGGAATGTGGTAAATAGCTGTCATTATACACCCATTAACCGTAATTGATCTTGTACCTACTTATGTATGATTACCTTGTGCCTTACTAAAAGTTGTAAAACAATAGTTTATATATATAACATTTTATTTTCCTCAGTATTTCATTTACATGTAAAGCAACATAATTGAATGATACTTTACATGGGATCAAATTTAGTGGATGCTCATTTTGATTGCTTGTGATTGCAATTTGGGCATGAAATTGTGAAAAATAATTAAAGGAGATCGAGTTTTTTGAAGTTTTAATGATCTGATTAAAAAAAAAAAATATGAAACTGGTGATTCCTATTAAATGATTGAAATTGAAGAGAATTTTGCTAGGAGTAGGCACAAGTTGATCATAATCTATATTCTACGAGGGAGATTGAGGATTTAAAGACTAGTTCATTGGGTCCAAAATCATATTACAACATTTTTTTGTTGAATTTAAATTTTAAACCTATTTCGAAGAGTTTGTGATACCGGAGTTTAACCAAACTATAATACTAGGAAAATCAAATATTATTGTTGAATTAAAATTTGGAATTACAACCAAACAAACGAAAATTTGAAATTACAACAACCAATGACACCTGACATCAAAATGGGTTAGATCTATGGCGTAGGGGTGTCGGTTAGGGTTTGGACCTTTAGAGAGGTAGCAATGGGGTGATTAGTGGGCTGGATAGAGGACGACAGGAAGGGGATGATGTAGGCAGTGGCGGTAAGGTGAGAAATTGTAGGGACAACAGGAGGGCTTCCTGCCCTAGGCGACAACAACAAGTAGGAAAGGGAGAAGTTGCTATGAAGGCTGTAACATGAGAGAAACTACAAGATGGAATGAGAGGAGCGGTTGGGGAGAGTGGAACAGTAAGGAAACAACAAGATGGAATGGGAGGAGTGCCTGAGAAGGCTAGATTAACAGAGAAACAACAATATGGAATGGGAGGAGCGATTGGGAAGGTTGGACGTTGCAAGAAAAATAGGTAAGCTTGCTGTTCTTGGCGGCTGCAACAATAGAGAGTGGTTGGAAGCGATGCGAGAAGGATGTGGACTGGTAGAGGAATGATAATCACTACCTCAGGAGCGAGATACAACCAAGCAATCTTAGACCCTTTTTTACAATGCTAAACGAGAAGAAGAGACGTTGACAGCTGGCCCACAAAAAACACAACGAAAAAAGTAAACCTAGACACTAAGGAAAATAAATAAATAGACTTAGGATAACTTGGAGTGGGCCCCACTCCCATTTGGGTGCACTTTCACCCTTGGAATGCATGGACCAAACTAGTCCAGGTGTGCCTGGGCTTCCGCTTGCCTAGGCAGACACAACACCCACGTCGATCTCCTGTGGGCGGTGGAGCTTCGACCTCTTTTGTCAAAGCACCTGAATTCCAATGTTGGATGCACTGTCCTACAACACACGTGAGAAGGTTCCGAAACTGTGAGTAATCATTCCTATCAGTCCAACTATCTGTGAGTACTCTATTGAACTAAATTGAAAATTCGTGCAAAATGTATTGTATAGTCTTCCACAACTAGTTGTAGATTGGCTCATCTCTCTCTAAAGTGAAGATTTAAACTGAACCTCCATTTACGGTGGTGGCCATGACGGTAAGTCGTCGGTCAGGATATCGTGAAACTCTTTCTGTAGTGGTTGCCTTGTGCATGATATCGATTTTTCTGTCTCACCACCCTCTATTGTCACCAAAGTTGATCTCACAAGTGCCTTTCCATTGGCAGGAGCACTTACAATCTCGGACTCCCCAAAAGGTGAGAGAACCATGCACTTTCAATTATTTGTGAATGAGTATGTGTTCTTGATCCCATCTGCCAAGTTATGCAATCCAACTGCCACAGTCTCCCCAACAGAACCGACAGACTTTCATGGGCACTAGGGGTGTAAATGATTCGAACTTAAGCGAGCCTAAAGCTTGTTTGGGTTCTGCTCATTAGATTTTTTTTGTGTTCGACACTTGTTTGAAATGACTTGCGAATTGCTTGTTCATGTTCAGCTCGGCTCAAAATAATAATTTATTAAAATTTGATAAATAATATAATATAATTAAATTATAAAATTTATTTTTTATTTTAAAATTATAATAGCTCGAGAGCCCTTTGGGGCAAGCCAGGTTAACAGTGGCTCATATGAAAGAGAGATTCATTATTTATAGAGATTTGGTGACATTCATTTTTGGAATTAAGCGATGTGGGATTAAGCCAGCAGCCTTCGAAGTCTGATGGTAAGCGGAAGCAGGAGCGGGGCTACGACATTTACTATTTTACATCAAGGGGAGTGGGACCACGCAATTCTTACATATTCATATGTTAAATATAATTTTTCTTTGTTTTTTATGGACGGAATGACCGAGAGAGTGGTTGATATATAGATAAATTTTTTCAACATTTTCATACATACCACCTAATTCTTATGTATTTATATATCCAATATATAAACATTTTTTTTATTTACAATACTAGCTAAAATTTTTTAAAATTTAATATTTTTTAAAATACAATATATAAATTTAATATATAAATATTATATGAATATTATTTATTTATTATTTAATTAATTTGAGTCAAATCGAGCCGAACACGAATGAATAAATCTTTGTTCGTGTTTAGCTCGTTTATAAATTGAGCTAAAAAAATTTGTTTGTATTTGACTCGTTTACTTAACGAACGAATCGAATGCAAGATACTTGATGAGCCGAGCATGAGTCGTTTGCTAACAACGAGTTTTTTTTATTGCCCTAATGGGCACAACATCACACCATGCCTGATGCTGTAGCTGTTTCACAATAGAAAACTCCATGAGATATCTCCTGTCAATGCTGATCTTATTCTTCTTCTTCAACCAATTCAGAGAATGACAGGGAATGTCTACATGGTGAGAGTCAACTTATCCATCAGATATGTGTACGTCACATTTCTACTACTACCATCGATGTAAGGTTGCATATATTTTCCTTCGTAGTGCAACCAACATGAAAACCATTTTCTCATAGCCTTAATCTCAAGGATCCGTCGAACCACAATCATCTTGCTCTCATCCACTGAAAACTAGTACCCAGCTTGCCCTTTAGCCAACTCTTCCTCGCTCCTCTCCTCCATTGCACCTGCTCGTTGAATGACACAACTCTTCTCGTAGGGCAACTAGAGGTAGAGTGTCCATTTCCATGAAACCTAAAACATTTTTTGGCTGAAACTGTGTCGGGTGTGCTACTTTTATGATGCTTCTTCCCACTCCGATCACCTTTGTCATTCTTTTGACCAGTCTTCTCAACTCTCCCAGTAGTGCTTCTGCTGATGCCTCTAGCTATCGGTGCTTCTCTGAATGGAGGTGGGTGTATGCTTTGTTTTTGTTGTCTCTCCAACTTCAAAGTTAAGGTCTGAACATTACACTGCGACCAACAAGGTTGTAGCTGGACAACATTGCTAATAGAGGGCTTCAGGCCTCTCAAGTATCTGGCTATATTGTGCTCCTCTGGATCTGTCAACTCACATTTCAGCATTAGCTCCTCAAATTCTTTCGTGAACTCTTCCATAGATAACTCCCCTGCTTTAAGTGTGTAGCCTTAAGAACGGTGTTCAGGCGGTAATGTAAGGGTAGATATTTCCTTCACATCTCTTTATTCATCTTTTTCCAAGTAGTGATCTTGTTCCTACCTTCTTACAGTCTCTTTTTGTTCAGATTGTCCACCACAAAGATGCATTCTTCTTCAACTTTATGGTAGCAAGCTTCACTCTTCTGTCACTTGGCATCTCCTTGCATTCCAAGATTCTCTTGACAGTCTGCAGTCCTTCAATGAAGTCATCCGAATTCATTTTTCTCTTGAAATCCTGTAAGTCTATGTTCACTCCCAGGTATCTCTGTCCTTCAACAGTTACTTCTTCCCTTGGCTTCATTTGATGCTGAATTCCCAAGTGTCGTGGCCTACCTTTCTCTTCATTGGAGTCATCTCTATAGAAAGAATTCAGTTTTTTCTCCCTCTCATTCTTAAATCTTGTTATCGCAGTTGACAGTGATCTCTCCATGGGTCAATCCTCAATTTAACAAATACTTGTTGAAGTTGGCGTAGTTCCCGCTATGCTTCTTTCATGCTAAGTTCCAGAATAATGCCTTATTGGCATTTGGAAGTGACGTTGGGCGTGAAAGAAAAATCTTTGGTGGTCGATTTGAAATTCAGTAAGGAGAATGATTTT